AACCAGTGGCTGATCGTGCGCCTGAAGCTTCATTTGTGCAAGTGGCGGGCATGCCCACTGCTCGGACAAAGCCATTCCCTCTCCCCCCACACTGGTCTGCAAAGCCGGAAAGGTTGAGCAACCAACAAAGTAATTATTTTAGTAAGTATTAAAAGAAACCTACACGCAAGAATAAAGCAAATTCAACCACAACTGGATTGGTTATTGTTTACCTAATAGGAATCATAAGGGACCCATAACTCTAAACTGCAGACTTATGATTTTACTTCTACTCTACAGTATATCAAAATCTTAGATTTCAGAATTGTGGTGCTGCTATTGCTCCTGAATGAGGTTCTGTTCAGCAGTTCTGTTGTAGCATACCTAATATTTACCTTTGGGACAACCATGACTTGGATGACTGAGAATCTTCATAGACACTCAGTCTTTTAATATACCTGACACCATTTTGTCTGAAAGGTGCTTTTTCAAGAGGCAACTGGACTTTCTTGTTTTTCTTTGATGAAGTTTTGCTTCTCATCAAGAAGCTTCTTAAGCTCTGACTGGATGAACAGAAGCTTCTTGGATGAGAAGCAATCAAAGAAAAAGAAAAACAAGAAGGTCCAGTTGCCTCTTGAAAAAGCACCTTTGAGACAACCATGACGTGGATGACTGAGAATCTCCATAGACATTGTGCCACCATTTTCATAGGAAAAGGAAGGACTAAGTTGCAAAGCTTTGTACTACTGAGATTTTTGTAGCTTATACCCCCTGATGTATTTGTATTTCATTCTTACAAGAAAATGGTTATACTAAGCAGATAGAAGCCCAACTTTTTGCCATATAAAAGTTTATTACTCAATCTTTTAGAAGCATGCACCCATACATTCCATTCTAAATAGCTGTGTGATTTTAAATTTGAATACAGCGATAATCAATTCACATAAAATAGGTGTGGCAAACTAAAGTGGGTCAAATCAACATTATTTCTAGCATCTGTATTTTATTAATTGTTAATCTAGAATGTGAAGCCAATTTATAAATGAATGGTTAAATACTTCATGTTTCACATTTATATCCAATGTATTATTTATTTATTTATTTATTTATTTATTTATTTAACAGACACTGAATGACCCACATATACTAGACATACTAGTACTGCTGGTTTCAGTGAGCAAGGTTACATTGGGCCCACTCATTTAAAAAGGAACCAACATACTACTATTGCAACTCAATATTGATTAAAGATTTTTAGTCATACTGCTATTGCCATGATACAAGTCTGTACAATATTTCAAAAGTTCATGGTTTGCCCCATGCAATAACACCAACATTTTAGATTGCCCCTTTTGACCAAACATATCTACCACATACAACCATATATTTACACATCACAATAGTCAAATCTTTGCATATTATATACACAAATGCATACAGGTGGAATGGAAAATTTCTTTGTTGATGGGAAGTGAACTGTATGATAAATGGCAGAATTAATTGAAGAATTTTTTTATCAGTGTTAATCCACCCATCAATGTTCACATGTTATACAAAATCTTAATCAGTACAGTATAATGTAAACTTCAATTTCTCCATTTGAATGTAAAAAAGAGAAGAGTATATTAAATAAGTATATTAACCAAAACTGAACATACAATTTTTGCATTAAGTTAGCTATTCAGTTTACTCCTTCAATAGGCCAAGCTTCTTTAAAGCTTCCTTTCTGTGCTCTTCTGTGGCTCCTTTAGGAATGATTTTTACACTAACACATGCTGGCCTAGGAAGCTTGGAGGGGTGCTGAAGTGGGTAAGATCTTCTCTCATGATTTTTGTCCCACTCAACATTATGTTGTTTGTTTTCCTTCAGATCAACAAAGTCTTTCCCTGTGCCAAGAGATGCTGGACGCATCCGGTTATTCCTGAGAAAATTTGGAGTGATCTTAGTGAGAAAAGATATTTTGTTATTCTTAAAGTTCTGTTCCTCGCTTCCAGAAGCGATGCAACTACTCAGACCCACACCAGATCGTTCCAGTGTGTTAGATTTGAAATTTGCCTGTTTGACCCTTGGGATGCTAATGTCAGTTGGTTGGACTTCTTTGACATCCATCTGGTCAGACTGCTGGACAGATTTCTTATTAAGAGCAATGTCATCCATGTTTACATTCTCCCTACTGCTAGTGTAGGACATTTCTCTTGATTTTGAGTAAATAGAAGTTTTGATCACTTGGTCATCTGGATTTTTTTCATTATCCAAAGGGAGTCCCAGTTTCTCAAGAGCCTCCCTCCTTGCCTTCTCTTGTTCTTTTTGGAGGGCATTAGTTTTATCCATAGAAAAGTCACCAGTTGCAGCTCTAGGCCTCCCACTGGATGGCAATAATACTTTTATCTTATGGGTTGGGTCTATATTAAGCGATGCAACATTGCTTTTGCTGGTTTTGAGAATAATATTTGGGGGCAATTTTCTGGGCTTTGGGGCAGTAGGAGGGCCTTGCTTGAAACTAGAATCTAACTGAGATTCTTCCAGTATATGTTTATGATCAATTTCTTGATGATTAACAATTTGCTCAGAACTTTTCTTGTTACATTTAGGAGAGACAGATTTCAAAAAGGATTCCTTTCCAGTTGCTGTCTCCATCATCTCTGGTGGGAATTTTTGCTGGACTGTTATTGCCTCATACTCTTCTGTTACACCTTGGTTCCTCTTACTTTCAGAATGAGGTGTTGCCCTATTTTCAGCATGTCTCCAAGAATCAATAAGTATCTGTTCGTGCTGTATTATGAGATGGCTCTTCCTCTGGTCTTGGAATGGTTCAGGAGGTGGAATTACTACTGATTCCAACTCAGAGATTCTTCCCTGAGTACCTATCTCAGGCAGCTCTTTCAGTATGTCCAATGTCCCATGCTTAGGAGAGCCCCATAAAGTAGGATGTAATGAAGGAAGAGTTTTTACATCATCAGCATTAGTTTCTAGTGCTTCGGCGACAAAAATCTTGGAAGTCTGGGCAGTATTTTTTGCCATGATATTTTTTGGAAGGCTATGGTGGCCTGGACTTAAGATGGCAGCAGGTATTGAACCAGAAAGAGAAGTGTTGCCTTTTGGATCAATTTGTTTATGCTTTCCAAGATAGTCAGGATCCAGTTCTGCAAGATAAAACATAGTGGTGGGGGAAAGATAAGATAAAGAATAATATATCCTTTTGTTTTTTTAACAAGAAACAAGAAGAAAGAAAGTTTTCAATAAAGGAAATATAAGCCAAGGAGGAATAGGACCAAATATTCATTTAGATTTTGCACAATCATTACATTAATTTGATAAAGTTTGGATGAAATAATAAAACATGAATAAGAGATCAATGAGTTTGAACATATTCTTCAAGAGTTTGAACATTTCCTCCAATAGTTGTAGCTGACAAAAGCTATATAAATGTTGGTTTTCTATAGAAAATTCAAGTGCTTATATTGTTCAGTCATAGAATACGACCTTTTATGAAGGAAGATATGTTCAAAGTAAAATGTATAAAAAACCTATTGAAAATTTTCCAGGGGGATATTAACACCATATTTAAAAAATGAGAACTAGATCTGGGACTCAACAGATTAGACATTTTTAATAAAAAGCTAAAGAGTGTAACCTCCCTTATTTTGATTATGTGAAGACATCTATTTCCTGAAATTTAATTTTCTACATGTTAAATCAACATATAATTTCATCTCAAAGCATTATATTTTAAAGTTATCAAACATAAAGACATTACATGGGACAATTTGTACTACATTAAAGCCTTTTCAGATAGTTTGGATGGCAGAATAACTTCAACTATTTTGTGACCTTATACAAACAGAAATTTAATCTGTGTTTTGTTTCTTCAAAACTCAATCAAGAATTACTGTTCAGCTGAAGTATTCCCACTGCAAATCACTTACAGAACAGTTCATAAACTCACCTTTGGGGACATCTCTTGTAGGCCATGTCCTTGGAAGTTTGGAAGGTTCAACAGCTTCTGCCTCATCAGTAGAAAGTCCACTGTCTGCTTCAGTGTCTAAAGAATGCAAAGTTTCTTCAAGAAACATAAGGCATTCTTTTTCTTCAACTGTTAGATAATCAAAGCCACCGTCACTCTTTGAGACAAAAACAAAGAACAAAAAAGTCCTAAAAACTTGCTCTTAAGAACAAGGATTTCATCTCTATTTCTTGTCTTCCATTCAAACTTACCTATGCAATTCCTGGGAAACAACCAATCTTTCTAACCAAGGTCAATAAAACCTCTAACCTTCTGTCAAAACAGAACAAATATTTGTTTTTTGTTTGTTTGTTTGTTTTCTGCAACCACTAAATGTCAGTTGTGGTTTGATCCAAATAGGCTCAGTTTCTTACTTGAAATTCAAATTAGATCTAATAGTCAACAATAAAAAATAAAAACCACATATATAAACAGCTTATGAATTTTAATTTTAATACAGGGTTGTAAAAATGCACCAACAGATACAATAGATCACATATTTCTGACAATCATTCCTCAACAGCTAGGATAATATTATTTTTCTAATTTCTCAGTATGATTCTTTTGCCTACTGCTCTACCTCATGATCTGGTCAACCATAATTCTTGTTAAATACTCAGATTCCAAAGTTTTGGTATACAGTTCACTACCTTATTAATATTCTTAACATTTAAGGATTTAAAGATTTTCCTAGAAATATATTTATATATGTTAACACATTATTTTAAAAAGATATCTAATAATCACATGACTATATCATATGGGTCAATAAACTCTCAAATTTTTTATAACTCCAAAACAGAAAATTTGATATCCATCCTTTCAAATATATTATTTCAGGAGTTTAATACACCTAGATGCATGTTTTTCATGAATCATCTTTAAGTAGATATCATTTTAATATTTTTAAGGACATGAATCAATTGATGGGGCATTATTGGTGATTCCAGTTCTTAGTCCATGCTTAAAATATCCAAGAAATGTCGACTTAAAAATATCATTTTGATATTTATTTATTATTAAATTTGTTTGTCACCCATCTTGTTTTGAGGCGACTCTGAGCAGTTTACAAACATTAATATTATTAGCCTATTTATAATAAGCTAATATTATTTCATAATACACATTAGTGATATGTTTATTATACTTTGCAAATTATCCACTGCCATTAAAGCGATAGATATCACACAACTTTCAAAATAAATCAATACGTAAATAAATAGTGTTACCATTTCCAAGGAACTGGAGTTGTTGCTGATCACACTGTCACAGCTACCTGCACTCTCAACAGTTGGTATAGGATCTGGTTCAGCTATCCCTACCCATAAATCTTTTTTAGGCATATCAAGGTAGATAAGAGAGCAATCCGTATGATTCAGGAGCTCTAGGATAAAAAGAAAAGAAAATCATACATATTCTGCAATTTCAAAACATATTCAGGACAAGGTTAAGAAATATTAAATGTTTTATTTTTTACATCTTCATTTTTTGTACAACCTTTTTTTAAAAATAAAATATGCTTACTGAATACATTTATGAAATGCCTGGGTTTTTGTTTTTTGTAGCAGTGACTCATGACTATGCATACAAAAGTGTCCAAATTCACACCTCTGAAAGTCTCTGAAATTATGGGTATCTTCATTATGATTATACAATTAATGAGCACATCCTTACCCTGAAAGTACTTACTCCTACAAACCTGATTTACATGGTGTATTGAAGGTGATTATGCATCATAAAATTACTATCCACTCTTAGCAATCACACAAATAAACATTCTCTAGATTGATCTGGCTCTAATGTGGTTGTTCATATTTTCCCACCGCCACTGTAATCAAATCCACCCATCTTGTTGCTAGTCATCTTCTTCAGTTTTTATACCTTACCCAACATTAAAGATTTCTTAACAGAGTTAGGCTTTCACATTATGTATTCAAAATAATGACAATTTGAGCTGCCTTTTCATTTTTGCCTCAAGTGAAAACTCTGAATTGATTTATTCTATGAACCATTTGATTGTTTTCTTAACTATCCATGAAATTCTTAGGAGTCATCCAACAACAAAGTTCAAAGTCATTAGTGCTCGTTGTCATGTGTCACTCGTTCTATCTTGCCTTTCAAAGTCCAACTTTTATTTCCATAAAGTATCATAGGGAAAATGATGGCTTGCATGATTTAACTACTCCACCTGTGAGGCCATTTCAACTTCAGACTGTAAAGGGGAAATGCCAAAATAGCAATGCTGAAACAAAAGGAAATGAAGTAGAGATTTATTATTTTACTTATATAAAAATGAATTTATCTTCCTTTTCTAAGGTTCATCTTCTAAGGCAGGGGTGGCGAAACCGTGCCCACCCCATTGCAGGCAATAGAAAAAAAGTTGTGATACATCGCGACATGTCACGTGATGTTGCGAGTCTGACACCCATGTTCTAACACCCATGTTGAAGGGAACAAGGAAGTTAGCAAATATTTTTTTCTGAATATCTTTCCAAGGTTTCATTACCACCAACTACTGGTCTGCAGTGTATTTCTTCATTTTTTATTTCTTTATTGTTCATAATCAATCCTAAAAGGCAGAAGTCATCCACTCACTTCATACCTCCATTCTCAAATACTGAAGGTACCTGCAAAATCATCTTAAGTCATGGTAACATGCATTTAGTTAACTGTAAGCCTATTTCTTTGATGAAAGCAGTTTACCAGAT